ATGTTTGGTAGAGAGGATTTGATAGTAATTGACTGTAATAAATTAAAAAAAAACCTAAAACTTTGTTGATTAGTTCACCTTGATATATTCAAGAGGGAGATGTGATCGAAGCGAAGCATAAAGCTTTGCCATTTGTTTCCTTCTTTGCCTCTCAAATTCTCTATGCAGAATTTTCTTGCCCTTGTTTTCAGCACTAACCCCTTCCTTGTTTTCTTGATTATCTGAAGACGTTTTTCTTTGCCTCTTTTTTGCATATTTAGGATTAGCACGACTACAGTTATCGGCCAGCACTGAAAAATCTTGATCTTTTGTAAGCAGATATTCTTCTAGGTTTACTAGATCTTCTTGGAAAATTGAAGGGTCCTCAAAGATCAGATCATCTTGTAATTGTGAAGGAAACATCTCAGTTTGCAAGTTTCCGAGAATATTTCAAAGGTTTTCTTGAAAATGCATCCCTATGTATTAACAGTACTTAGATATCACCAGTCTAATTATTCCAATAGTAATCATCATATAACTCATTAGGGTATACAGTAGTATTTATATTTATTTATAGGAAGGGTTAAACCTAATTATGTTATTTAATCACGGATGATTGCTTTATTAAATGACAACTTGTGGTAATCAGAATCATTTCACTGTTCTGTAATTTGTCTGGAAACAGAAGATGGGCAAACCGAGACGAGATAAGATATGTTTGCTCAACTGGGATTTCAAATTCGACGGACGGTGGAATTGTACCCATAATTGATGCATGGTTATTTAAATATGAACAACTAAATTTAAATAAACAAATACTTTCCTTTCTTTGATAGTTGAAGTTTTCAAAGAGGTGTGGTACAAAAGTTGAGATTTGAAAGATTAAATAGAGATTAATAAAGTGACCATTTTCAACTTTTACAACAAAGGTGACAGTTACATTTGCTTTTCTTCAAAGGCTTCAAACCTTCCTTTTTTGGTGATTTCTTCTTGCTGGTTTTATTTTCGTTCTTGATCAACTTTCTCAACATTTGATAAATTTGAATAGCTAATTAACTATTTATTAACAAATACTTTTCCGAAGAACACTATTTATGTTAGAAAATAAACCATGCAGATATTAAAATCGTGATTTTACGCTGTTACAAACTAAATATTAATTAAAGAAATTTTGATGTTTATTGAGGCATAATTGCGACAAAATTCCCTTTACAAATAGCAATTGCCACTAAACTTGCGCAAGCTGCAATTGAACTTTAAAATATTTCT